ATAGAATACATGTGCCTTCATGAAAAGTGCATGTATACATGCACTTCAGGCTATCAGTGACAGTAAAAAGAGTTTCTGCTTATGAACATCCAATGGAAATAGTGATAATTAATATAATATCCAGAAAGTGTAGACATTTTGAAATATACTGGTAAAATTTGAAGATACATAGGGAAAGTACTTGCTCTGACCCTTTCTTTTGGGTGAATGAATGAAAGCCAATATATTGCTTCTGCCACAGTCATTCTGTTTCTATTTGCAGACCTTTGTATTTTCTGATCTTCTCCAGTTCTTTCTCTACTATTCTGCTGTCTCCAGGTACTGCCACATCCACTATCTAGACATTTTTGTCTTTTTTATCAACAGTTGTTAAGTCTGGGATGTTATATGGCCCATCTATTTGAATTATAAAATCCCAGAGCAATTTAACTTCTTCATTTTCTAAGACTTTCTCTATTTTATGGTCCCATCAGTTCTTGCTTGCAGACAATGATATTTCTTGCACATCTTCCATTGCACCACTGTCATGCTTGTAGTTAGTCTGTGCAATCTTCTTGCAGCAGTTAACCAGGCGATCCATTCTTCTTCAGCTTCTTTGCATAGGCAATATTTGCTGTCTATGCTGTCTTTGTATGTATGTGTATGCATTTGTTCTTAAAGTTTGCTCTTATGCAGCCAGAATTAGCTCCTCTGTCACTTTCTTCCACTTTCCTGCTCTTAGTCATTGCCAAGTCTTGTTATTATCTGTTTTCCCTGCTATTTGTTTAATGTATTGGCCATATAATACTTTGTCTTCTGATGCTTCCATTCCGTTCTTCATTTAGTCTTTCTTGTAGACCAGTTTAGTCTCTCCAGGAGTCAGTAAGGCTTCCTGGTATACTGACTTCAGTGCATCTTCTTTACTGTCCAGATATTCTTCCAATGTTCTTTTTTCTTCTTCAACCATTTGATATACTTGCAACATAGATACCTACCTAATTTCCTTCATAGATAGAGTCTGCCTATGTTGCTGTGAGGATGAAGGGCATGATTCATTGTCATTATTTTTCTGATCTTCCTATCCATGGCTTTTAGTTTTGCTTGAGTCCATTCTATTATTCCAGCTATGTATCTAATGACTGGAATTGCCCAGGTGTTGATTGCCTTGGTGGTATTTCCTTCATTTCTTTTGGACTTTAAGATCATCTTCATTTTCTTGATATATTCATTTCTAACCTTTTCTTGACTTCAGTGTGCTTGATGTTGTCAGCTTGAAGGATGCCCAGGTATTTATAGTGATTATTTTCATCCAGACTCTTGATGTTATTACCATAGTAGGACATCTTGATTCCTTCAGTTTTCACTATTTTTCCTGTTAGATGGTGAGCGTGGCACAGTCGTTCAGTACAAATTCCATTGCAATGTCTTGGCTGCATATACAGATAGTGTTGAGCGGCAGTTCTATTTCAGATGATGTTCAGATGATGTCATCCATGTAAAGGAGGTGTGATAGTCTGGCAGATGTTTTTGATTTTTAATAGCCATGGTCTGAATTAGATAATAATGATGATGCCCAATAATCTTTCAGAAAACAGAACATCTCAGTCCAAGCTGTATATATCATATACTTTATAGTACTTGTTTCTCACTCCCATTGCTATATGCTTCTTTTCCTAATCCTTAAATGCAGATGCTATATGAATGTCGGTCCTTGGATTATGGTTTAGCACATGGTTTCCTAAATGATGGGTTGTGAATCCCAAAAAGTCACAAATTGTAAGGGGGGAATAGTAGTTGTTTAGACTTTAGTTACTAAGCTTAAATATTTGACTGCTTTCTGAAGAACTTCCAGTAATATTTTTAATTAGTATTAGTATTCTATAATAATTAGTATTTGTTATAGAATATTATTTTGAAATGAACTTGGAAAAAAATGTGCATAGCTAATTTAAAAACTGAATTCAATTTATTCATGTCTGCTGTTGATTGTTTCTATAATTTGCCCTGACTACTGGGTTCTTTATGGATTGGGATTAATAAAAATCTCATATATGCGGACTATTGCACCTGACATCTATTGATCATGTGATAAACTATTATTGAATGTTAGTGATCCATTGACATTACCACCAGTTATTGAGTTTGCTTCTTTTGAATTTATTTTTGTGTGTTCAGTTTAATGTATTCATAGCCTTTGGAATCTGTACAAGTCTGTTATGTTCATTTTTATTTTTCCGTAAAGTTGTACAGTTTTTACATTTTTTAATTCAATATCAAGATGAAAATACGGCTGCCCAAAATAAATGATATATATTTCATATCAAGTTATTACTTTGAATCATGGTGGAATTTTTTTAACAAATAATTCAACTTTTGAAGGGTCTTAATATCACAAAGTTTGAGAATCCTTTACTTAGTATTTTATGTAAACTTGCAGTTGTAGTTTTTATATACAAACAATGGCTTACTATAATGTATGATTCTTTGGAATCATATCTAAAAGGATGAAGGAAATATTTGCTATTTCATGAATATCTGAAATAATCTGAATTGTTGCATTAGATCAGTGGTTCTTAACCTTTTTGAACGAATCGCCCTCTTGAGCCAATGAGGAAGTTGTCGTGGCCCCCCTCCCCCAACATAACCTCTCAATCACAACATAGGAAATAATTCAATTTAATGCAACCACTTTTTTTGTTTTCTTTAAGATTGTTATCAGGACATATCAATGCAAATAATTTATTTCCAGTCTTTTTCCTATATCTCAACTGTTTGAAAAATTTTGGTGCCACCCATCACTTTATTCCCAAACTTTGTGATACATGTATTTCATTATTATATTATTTATTCAAGACACTTAAATGTAATGACCACTGAAAACAAAATTCAGTTGCAAGAAAATGAAATGCCTGAAAAGAAAAACAGTAATATTTAATGATTGAATTACAAGTGAAATTTAAGACGCAAAAAGAAATATAAAAAGGATAGAGGCTGCTGCGCAACGCATATGAAGATAAGCGATGCGTATTCACATATGTACGGCGTTCTGTACTGAAGCTAGCTGGAGGAACATTTGAAAACACATTTCAATCGACTAATAGCGAGCGATCTGATGTTTTTGTACGACAGATATGCAGCGATTCACTGTACGAAAAAGTCTCAAAGGTGTCCCCAAAACTTCTTGCTCCATCGCCCCCATATCGCCCCTTTTGTTCCTTCGCCCCCACATTGCCCCTTTTTGTTCCATCGCCCCCCTGAAAAATGAAATCGCCCCCTGGGGGGCAATATCACCCAGGTTAAGAACCACTGCATTAGATAACAATGCTGCAAATTAAGTAAAACAGAAGAGAAAAAAGCTTCAGACACTTGGTGGTGCTGGTGGGAAATGTAAGTTCCTGCCCTAAGGAATCTTATAATTCATTTATGTTAGTGTACTGAACTGTTAGCATTTCTAATAGTAAATCTACCACTTCAAAAGTAAAAGTTTTTTTAAATTGTTAAATTCTTTGTCAACAAATTATATTATAGAGGTATAGAGAGACCAATGGCTGAAGGTAAAAACAGAGTTTGTAGTTTTATTTATTGGAATAGTTAGGATTTGCAAAATGTATAACACTGGTATTGTGATGTTATAGTATGGTATTGTGATGCTATAGTAGGTTAGCCGGCACAGCATTTATAATTGTGTGGCACATCTGGAGGTGATTTTTTTTTTTTTTTAAGACCGGCATTGCACAGATGAAGGAACATCTAAAATCTATGTAGTTGAGACAAAAAGCACTTACTTTTCATGTGATGTTCCAGCATTTAGGAGATTGTGCAGACAAGTATGCTAGGTGGAAGACTATTGAATTTACTTCAATCCAGTGCCCTTCCCACAATTCCCAACATAGGAAAAATTTAGTGCAAAACATCTGGAAATTTTTAGACTGGAAAAGGCTGTATTGGCCTACAGAGAGCTGCATAAGATCTGTTGTTATTGCTTTAAATTATGGAGTTCTCTACTATTGGAAGTTTCTAGATCTCAAGAAAATTCTCTACCTGTAAAACTGAATATTCTGGCTGAATATTCAACTCCCTGAAAATGGACACATTTTAGTTCCGTGTGTTGTATATAAATCTGCTTGTTTCTGTGGTGTCCACGTAGCTATTATGTATTGTTTTTTGTGCATTTGGCCTACCTCAGTAATTCAACATACTTCAGCATAGTTAGAAAGAGATGTTCCTTTTTTTATGCAACTATAATTGAAAATCCCAGAGATCTGTTATTAAAATGAATGGGGCAGAGTCAGCGATTGAGTCCTGCAGATGTTTTTAGAGAAACTATGCAATGTAATATTTAATAAATTGCCAAATAGCAATTTAATTTGGAAGATTGCAATTTAATGAAACCCCCATTTTTTGACTACTTGATAGTTAGTAATTTGTAACGCCTATGAAGAACTTTCACAATCTCTTTGATCCTATCATCTGTTTTATTTTGTTTGGTTTCTTTTCTTCCCAGCAAAAGATAAGGCCAATAGATTCTGAAAAGATTGAGAAATATGCCCCATTATTAAGAAAGACTTGTGATAAGTGTTTTGGCATACAGTTTTAAAGTATTATATTGTGAATATCACCGACACAATTTTGTTCTTAACAACATGTTTTAGAGTCACTCTTATCAACCTTTGAATATTTTAATAGTTTTCATGGCTCTTAATTCCACAGATTTTCCGGAGTATACAGCTGATTGCTAGTACTCCTGCATTGATTGATCATTTTCTATTTAACCGTCGGGCCATTTATTTTCCCGTCTGTGTCGGGTGCACGCGCCTTTTTAACTTGCTTTGGTAGCTGTCTGGCTCGCGCGCAAGCCAGGTTTTCAGCTGCAACACTACAGTTTAACCTCGTAGTGCGCACGGGAAACCGGCGGTGGCGCTACCACCTCCGTTTTTGTGTTTCGTCCCCTCCCCTCCTTTTTGCTTTCCCTTCCCCCTGCCTTGCCTGCCCGGTGCATTCTCCGATTAAAGGGAGGAGGAGGAGGAGGAGGGCAGAGCAGAGAACGAGCTCAGCCGCCATTTTCCCCCCGAACATTATCTAGCAGCAGAAAAACAGCAGTAGCGCCACCTCCGCGGTCGCTGCGGCTGCCTTCTGCCGTACGCGGGTGGAGGGTCGGGTACGAAGGCAAAAAGGGGGTGGCGAAGGCGGAGAGGAGGAAACGCCGCAGAGACTGTTGCACATTGTGCCCCACTTCGAAGAAGAGCGGGAGACCCTCCTTTGCAGTAGGAGGAGGAGGAGGCACCGCAACAGCCGCCGTCGCCGCCACTGGGGGGAGAAAGCCAGGAGCACCTTCCCCCCCCATCGCTGCCGCCGCCTCTCCCTCCTCTTGGGTGCGTGGGGTGGGGGCGGTTGCAAAAGAGAAAGCAACCTTCCCGCCCCCCCCCGAGTCCTTTCCTTCCCCAGCCCTTTTCCTGCCCGCCCGCCCTCCTTGCCCGCAGAAGAGCAGGGAGCAGGCGGGCAGGGAAAGGGGGAGCTGGGGCTGGAAGGAAGGGGGAGAAAGGGAGCGACCGAGAGAGAACAGTAACGGCAAGAAGACGATTTGTGGTTTCGGGAGCGAGGGAAGAAGACTCTGCTTCTCGCATTCGCCTTGTTTGCAAACTGCGCCCTTTTTGTTATTACTACATATATATATTTTTTGCGTCGGGCCGGATCCGCCCGGACTCTGCTCTCAGCTCCGTCACGTGGTAGGTGTCGCTGCCTGCTTGCTTTGCTTTTGCCTGCTTTACTCGATTGCTTGCTTGGCTTTCCCGTTGCCCTTGCTCGGCCCTTCTGTCGCTGTCTTTGTTAGCGCTACTGGCTGCCTGTACCCCGTACGAGCCGCAGCGGCCAGAAAACAACTTGTATGACCCTTATTCCTTCCCTTCCCCCCTGATTTCTATTTGCGACTCGCTTGTCTTTTAATTTCTGGTTGTAAGGTGTGCATTTTTTTTGCGGAGAGATTTTTCTTTTTTAAAAAGACGTAATCATGATGAAACTTCCTTGCCCGGTTTTTTATTTTCCATTCGAAGTGTAAGGCATTGCCACGTTCTTAATTCTTCCTGATATTAATTTTTTTCTTGCTACTTTCCCGTTCTTACCTGTTATGTGTTTGCAACACTCTCAGGCGTTTGCGCTGTCCTGCAACTACAATGCGATCTCTTCTCTACCTTTGGAAAGCCATAAAGCTGTGTAGTAATCGCGCTTTTATAAGGTTACAAAAGAGCTTTTAGTTTCCCTTAACAGTTAAATGTGGGACGGGGATGGGGGAGGGAGGGAATAAGCACTGCAGCCGGTCGTCTGCTAGGGCGTGGGGAAGAGAGGGAACTGGAAAAGATTGACTTTGTTTAATGTTTGGAATAGATGCGACCACTCCCGCTGTCCATTTTACAATAGCACTTGCAAAGTACTTTCCTCAATCAATGCAACACGACGTCTTGTATAACGGGCCTGTCCCTCACTTGCTGTTGTTAATGTTATTGTTAAAGTGGCATTGAAAAATTAGCCATGTATGTGCGCGCATATGCGAAGTATTGCGGTTCCAATGCAAATGGGGGGAGGGGAAGAAGAAAAGCTGGTTTCTTATGGCGCCACTTTAACTTGAAGGCTTCGCTCTTCTGTTAATGCAGAAAGCTTCCCAATTGGAAGATGTTTATTTTCTTTGTATTAGACGCTTCTTGCTCTGTTTGCCTCCTCTCTCATAAACATGCACCTTTCAAAATTTACTTCTCGCTAACATTCGAACTCCGGCGTTCCCAAAGTTCCATCACATCCGTTCAAACCTACCCCCAATTTCCATTCTCAAACATCTTATGTGTGTGAGCGCGCCCGTGAGCGCGCCTGTATTGGAGATTTTGTCGTCACGTGGCTGGTTGGCAGTCATTTTTGTGTGCGCCTTGTGGAGAATGCATGCTGTATCCTTGTCGCTATAGCTTTTACAATCGACAATGAATTTGCTTCTTTTTCCTTCTCTTCTCTCATGGCTCTTTCTAAAGTAACTTATACGTTATTATGGGGCTTATTTATTTGTTATAACCAACCAACCTAAATTGAACACTTGTTTTGCTTAATGTCTATTGTGTGAGATTTTCCTTTTTATTGTAATAGAATTTGAAATTACTGTTTGGGGTATAGATTTGGATCAATGTAATAAGTAGTATAGAAGGGTGTGCTAGGATGTTGGTTCTTAATGACATTTTATTATCAAGTATATATTTATACTTACGAACATGCATTTTTCCTCCTTAGAGTTATAGTTGTCTAGCTTTCTCTAGTGAATTTCCCTAGTTAAACATGTGCTGTCTTTACCACCAATAATTTAGAATTGATGGCACTGTTTTTGTTCTTAAGACAAACTAGCAAATATAATTCTCAGTTTTTTCCTAGAATGGAAAATTCTGCCTCACTATTTGATCTTTTAGATCAGTTCAGAAAAGAGATACAGTTGTTAAAAGAAGATGAAACTTTGTTTGGAAGAGAAGTTGGCATTTTAAATCCTTTGATTTAAAACCTCTTCAGTGTTACATAATTGTTTGCTGCCACTTTAAAATATGAGTATATTAACTTGATATTTGTATTCTAACCACTAGAAAATAGTTTCCCTTTCTCTCTTGCGATTGTATGATGGCTCATACTTACTCTGCCTATGATGCATAATTCTAAAAATAAATCAGGTTAAAAAACTTTTTTTGCAGGAGTTAAATGTTGTAAAAATAGTACTTCTGGTTGTCATAAACTCTAGAAGCTATTGGAAACTACTTGAATTGTATGAATTGTTTAACCTATACATGGAAAACAATCTTTAGAAAGGTAGTGTTATTGCACAAGGGGATTCAAAAATAAAAACTTCACTTCTTCTAATCAAGTTGCTGTCTTTGCACTTTATAGTAAAGTATGTTTAACTTGAATAAAATACAGTAAGTACATTGGGTTCATATTTTAACCAAATGTGACTTCTAAGTAAAGTTACATAGGATTCCGCTATATAACTGCCTAGTGTTTGTGAATGATGATTCTTAATACTAGATATGTTAAACCTGTTTGATTCATTTGTAAAACATAACTCACATTGGAGTCAATTCTTTAACACAGTGAAACAAGTAATTATACATATGGCTGGTTATGCAATTGAGTAATTTGTGAATAAGATCCTATTTTCTCAAATGTGGTATACTTCACAAAAGTATACATATTTCTTTAAAGTTACCACAGTGCTGGAATTTCTGAATGTCATTTTTAAAATAAACATAATTCTGTTTCAAGGAATCACTCTTTATTAACATCTAAAATGTAAGATTATCCTTATTTGCAGCATCATTTTATTGTCATGGTTAAGATGCTGGACTAGGAAAAGGGAAACAGGTTTTAGTCCATCCTCAGTTACAAACGCTCATTGAGTGACTTCGGGCTAGTCATTCTCTGATCACCTATCTCATAGGTGGGGAGAATATAGAAGGAAGAACTATATATACTACGTGTATCTGTAACGGCACAATAAGGAAAACAAATTGGGGAAACATCCTTTCTGGGATGGCTTAGTGAAGATAAAGCTAAGCTGTAGAATGGCTAAGTGGTAAATACACCTGTTGGTTCATCAACAGCTGTGGGAAATGCACTGGCTTATCATGGAATAGCATAATATTTATACCTATTTGCAACTGATGGGTTGACTGTACTCATAACACTAAGATAGACAAACCAAACCTAACAGTTCAATCTCTTCATTTCCTCTTTCAGTGGGGTAGGAAGGTTGTTTGATCAGCATTTGGTTCATGCTAGCTTTCTAATCAGTGGTCCTCATCACTTCCAGCATAGTTGTTGGAATGTTCAGTATTCTTTTGAATTGGTCTTCCTTACTCCTTTGAATGCTTTGGGCTGCAGTTCTCATAATCACAAGTGAGATTTTGCTGCCAGGAATAAGTAAACTTTATCCACATTCATTGATGCTAGGACAACCAGATGTATTGTGTATTTGAAGTTTATTTTTTGTTTATTATTTTCATCTGTATACAGCTGTAGCTACCTCAAATCATTTTGATGATGTAAAATAGAAATAAGGTTTAAAAGCAATATATTTGTAGAAAAATCTGTTGGAGGGCAGCTGCTGTGTTTTATTTGTTTTGCAGATGTATTGAATGATGCTCCCCATAATTCTCTGATAGTGTAGCTTTTAGGTTTTATCCATGCTGGCTGGGAATTGTAATCTTCAGATAGGGAAGCTGATTATTTCATTTGGATGTCTTTTATGTTAGATATTTTGCTCATAATTACAATGGAAATGTTAAAGCATAGTTTACTTGATGCTGTGAATTTCTTTACTACTCAGTATAAAGATATTTTGTTTACTTATAAGTTAAGGACAGAGAGCTCTTATTAGTTTTTTAAGGGCATAGGTTAAAAAGCTTATAAAAAAGACTTACAAAAGAAAATTATACAAATCATATTGTTATCTGATTTTTACCCCAAATGAGTTCATTGAATCAAGATTTGAAAACATATTGAAGATACTGCTCTAATAATTTATATCACATTAACAAAGATAGGTCAAAGTGCAGGAAAAAAAATAGCTGCAAAATTATACAGAAATATTCATGAAATTCTATTATCTTTGTTCAACTGCTGTTTCCATTTTTCTTATTTTATAAGAAGTTGATTTAATCATAAGTGTCATATGAATTTAATCAGAATACCAAAGATTTCCTATTTTTGCTATGTTAACAGATTCTGTTTTTTTAAATAAAATACACTTCTAAAGCATTGATTAAAATGTGAAAATAATCATGTTTTTTCATATATTGTTTTAAAGTTCTGAGTTTTAATTAACAGTTGTCATAAAACCAAAAAACACTGATGGTGGATTCTGACATTTCTTGATTATTGACGTTATGTTTGTAAATGTTATGTAAACCAAGTAACTTTTTAGCAGCTAAGTGCTGTACTGAAAATAAATTATCTCCATGGGCTACAATGATAGAAATATTAAATTACAAATATTAAATATTGGCATTTTGCCATTAATCTGGTGTAATTTGGGGGAGAGAAGTTTTTAAGGGCTGGAATTTTGCAGATTGCTGCATAGGAAATGATAGAATCTGTTTAAAAGATATGTTTGGGGGAAAAAGTTCTGGGATATTGATTTCTCTGATAATTTATCTATTAAAATAGATCTGATTTGAAATGTGACATCATTTTGAGGTTTTACCTGTCTATCGGTATTAACCAAAATGTTTGTCCAAATGAAAGCAACCGGTTGAATTTAAACCACATTTAGTAGTAGAGAACCTTGAACATAATTTTGCACTTATTGGAATCCTATAAGTTTAGGATTGTTGGCCATATTTATACCCAAATAACTTTCATACTTAACAGCTACTATAGCTAATACAGAATATTCTTTTGTGTCTGATATACTAATATTCTGCATTCCCAGAACAATGGATCTGAATAACAAATTTATATATGAATGAATATTTCTGGCTTTTAGCTTTTATTGTACAACTCAGTCTTTTGTTACTGGAATAGCATTACGGTTAGACCAACAAATTACCTAAGAGAATTTACTAAATTTTGTTAAAACAAACAAATGTCTATGTGATATTTCATATATAGATTATCTGTACTAATAGTTTTTGGCTTCTTAATATAGGATATGCCACAAAAAATATATCAGTTAAAATTTGGCAGTAAATCAGAAAAAAAGTTAAAATAC